TGCACGTATAGTCTATAGAAAGTTGGTAGATTCTCGTCTTGTCCTTAGAAACCCCAAGTTTTAGAAAACCTTGTTCAATGTGAGTAAATAGGTTTTAAAAGGCTATTTCTTCTCATGAGTGAAGTGAAATGCGGCCCATTTTTCTGGTGTAATTCTTAACTGATATGTTCCTGCGGTTGTGCATTCTATTGGCAGCAGTCAGTACAGTGATGATATTAACATGAAACTGCTAACAAGAAGAATGGACAACGTGATATCCTTCAAACCAACATCTAACCCGTGAGTACTGTCTTAATGTCTTATGCTTTCTTCCCACATAACATGCAGCTAATACATATGCATGAGGTCCTTCTTAAGTGCACACTATAAGTCAACTGGCTCGTATTTTAAAGCCTATTCATGCTGTTTTTTAATTAAATTGTGTTGTAACAGGAGCTAGGAAATGATTCCCGACCAATGTATCATCAATCCTAAGCAATGAAAATAAATCAATGCTGCTATCATTAGAGTCCCGTTTTCCTCATACATTATGTTGTCTCCATTGCAGCACCAAATCAAATCCTTCCTGAACCCTGGTTGAGTTTGCCTCCGCCCGGTCTGTTACATAATGCCAAGAGCGACATTCCTGGAGGCTACGTTAACATACCCATTTGTGAGGAGGCTGGACTGGAGAATAGTGAGGGATTCAAATTATAGAACGTGTATGAGCAGAAAATGAGTGAAACATTCCCACTAGAGACATTGAAAGTGTTCAACTATGCTGAAGTCTACTCTAAATGGTAGCGGACTCAATATAGACTGTGAATTAGAAAGAAGACAAGCATTTGTTGCAATTGCAAGCAATTCTCAACAACAAATTCAGGCACCAATACCTCTAAGGTACCGATTGGAGTTGTGTAAATCCCCTTTACAGCCAACGTTTTGATTGGTTCCATCCAGCACTGTACATTTACAAAGTTTACTATTGGTAGTTTTAATAAACTGTAGTTATTAAATATGTGCTGTATCAGGGAGAATTGCATCTGCTCCCCAGTTGCTCATTAACTTTTGGAATATAGCATGTAGATATTTTGGATAGTTTGACAGCTTATTTTACAATAGCACCACTTTGGAGTGTGTTTGTTTCTCCCCACAATTGGAATGCATTTCAGCCTGTGAATCTTCACACATTGTCGCGACACTCTTATTAGTAAACTGTGCATCCCTCGTGGATCAGCACTTGTCCACAATTCTGTGAAAACCGGCCCAAAAAAAAGTGTGCGTGCACAAAAATAGAGACAATAGTGTCTCTGTATCCTATTAAATTGTATTAATTACTTTCAAATATTCATTATATCACCCTCTGAATTGATGTCATTGACATTACAGTGAGCTGATCAGGGTGAGATTTTCCTAGTCAATAACTGCCATGAGGCAATTTAAGTCATGTTCATTTTGTATATTGGCTTAGGTCTAATGTTCAAATTCACTCTGAAAATTGAGTCTGCCCACATCAACAATAGACAATTGAAGGTAGCTTTCAAATCGATCAAGACACAAGAAGTAGACTTCCTATCATTGTAAAGCTCTTAGAAATGCAGCGGAAATATGCAATAATTTATAAGTACCCCCTTAAATCCTTCCCTTTCATTATCTAAGGGCTGAGCCTACATCAATTATAATGTAACTGTTTGTATAATGTATGTGTCAGTGTGATCTTTATTATAGCGTATATCCTATCTGAGAAATCTACCGAGAAGTGGAAATAACTGGGTTCAAAAATGGGGGGGCTCTTAAATTTTACAGTCCTTCTCAAATAATCAATAAGCTGGTTTTGACCTTTGGGTGCATCAATAATGGTATTTCTGCCTCTTGAGAGAAGAGAAGAACTTTCGTTGATCCTCAGACTATTCTGAGCGGTATTTCTTCCCTTGTGAAAACGGTCAGCTCAGGATTCAAGTGCTCATGAGCTCAACCAAAAGCAAATATTGAGACTGAAATGGCAGCAGCCGGAGAAATTTCACAAAGGAGAAATGCTGGGAAGAAGAAAAAATAAAGAAATCCACAACCTTCTTCCTATGCTGACTATTCTCCCTTTGAACAGTGCAGGAATTGAGGCTCGCCTGGTCACTTGCAATGTGTTGAATGTCCAACATAACATGGCTATTCCGTGTCTGCGTCCCTGTCCCTCTCTGTGTGTCCACTCCTGAGTCATACATGACCTTCTCTACGACACCACCACTGCTTCTGGCTCTCTGCATAGAGCAGAGCACTCTCTCGCCTATGTATGTATCTCTCCCGCTCTCTTTCACATGAATACAGAGTTAAACATTTGACTCCAAGGTCTTAAACAATCAAATCGTATTGCTGTTCTCCCTCGGAGGCTTGGGACTTTGCCCCTGACACCCATGGACAATGAGCTTTAATGGGATGTAATGAACACTTCCTGTCTGGCTCCAGGCCCAAGTGACATTTAAGTGTGGTTTTCTACATAGCATATACCTCCATTAAGCCAGCTATTGGAGCGGTCTTATCTTTAGCATGCACAAACGGTCACCAGTCCGAGAGGCTTGTCTATTGAAAAGCTAAAGTCAGAAGGGGGTTTTGGGGAAAGGTTCTGCAACATGCTTGAGTCCAGGTCGTGCAATTAGACCTGCTTACATGACCATTAGTTAAGTGGACTTTGTGTCCTCTGGGGGACACTCGCTTGAAGAATTGCATACTTATTTTGGTGACACATTCAAAGTGAGCTACAGGCCTGTGTTGTGGGCTTCTGCTCTGTGACACACAGTGGGTAACAATGTGTTAAAGCAGATGTCTGCCACGTCTCTGCTTTCAATGGCAGGACTTCAGCGGAGAGCCCCGTTGGGTGGAGAATACATTAACACACACCAAAGCATAGGTGTCTTTGCTCGGCCGTAATAGCTAATAGAACACTGCTGGATATACCCCTCGATGACATCTCTCCATTATGTTGTACCCTGTTTCTCATTTGCTCTCTAAAGAAAGAACACACGATGGTTCCATCCCCACACCAAAATAAGTGGCAGACAAAGAGCCAGATGGGGGAGAGGAAATGGAAGATGGAAAGTGGTTCCACACCAGCTGCAATCCTGAAGAGTGGTTACATTTATAGGAAGGGGAGCAGATCAAAGATGCCGAAACCATTACGCACACATGTGGCCTCTTCTTTTCATGAGGCTCCAATGGGTTAGGTGGTAATGACTCCCCTTTCACATTAGGGATTGTTTAGTAGGCCATAGCTGACAAAAGAATGAAATGATCAAAGACGTTGTGTAGCATTGGCTGTGTGTGTTTGGATGGAGAGTGGGATTTACTTTTGTTCGGCCTTTGTTTGTGGGCTTGTGTGGATATAAGCCCTGACCATGACGCACATCTGGGTAGGAGTAATGAACTTGGGATCTATTTCACTGCTGCTATCATCTCTGGGGTACAACTTTTAGAAAACAGCAGAGAAAACAGTAAACACAGCACAAATATCTCCTGTTATCGTACAGTTGCAACACTGTGGCTACACATCTTGTTTGTGGCCCCTGTCCACACTGCTTGGATTTCCATTCGCTCTATGCTACTGTAAAAGAACAAATGATCAACATATTTTTTGTTTTGCCTGCACAATCGAGTGGCGATTCAACACAACTAAATCATTGCCTTTCTGCTCAGAAAAGCTATATATAGATTGAATGAAATGTCTATTATGCATTAGGTGATTGGCTGTAGATACAAATAACATCTTACATAATACTTAAGTATTTGATTTCTGGAAGTGCCTGCCATATGCACACTTATGGAATGCACACTGAACCTGCAGGCACTCGTTTAGATGCACACATGTGCATGAGCGCCAGTTTCACTGGGAAAATATACCTTTATCTAAGGATTCAAGGCCACTTTTCAGGACTCTGTAGACCTGCATTGTGTATGCATGTATCTGTATGTGCCTATGGTTGTGCAGGTCTTCTGGTTAAACACATGAAAATAGACATAGCATCATCAGTTCTCTCATCTCGTCTCTACACATCAGCAGCACAGAGATAACAACGTGAGCAACAGCCTTTGGGTGCTGCTGCCAAAAATATTCCAGTGCGTAACCATTCCCAGAGATTGCAATATGACTCATCTCACAGCCAGAAACACCTAAAGATCTGCAACAGCAGGAAGCATCTCCGCGAAATGTAAAGAACTTGTGAATTAAAACAGTAGTGGTCAATCATAGAAAGAGACAATTGTACAAAAGAAGAAAAATGGATGAAAGAGGACAGTTAAAATGTAATGCTTATTTTCATATATAAACATTTATTCTTATGTTGTCAACTGTATAGTGTGTGTGTGTGTGTGTGTGTGTGTGTGTCAAGATTTACAGTGTATAAATATAAAATGCAGCATCGAGCTTCTCTCTGAAGTCAGGTGCAGTTCCAACATTTCATCACTAGGAGGTGCACTTGTATGAAGCAAAACTTCTCCACTACTTCATATACACAACTCTGAAATTCTTCCACTGACACTGTTTCTAGTGAAGCGTTTTAAACCAGCCATAACAGACCATCTAAAAATGTCTCACAGAGGAACATAAATGTCAGTGTGAAATATTTCCAGAGTTAAGACTTGAGCTTACTTTAATGTCCCCATTAAGAAACTGTGATTGCATTGGACTTTTATTTCCCAATACCATTTGTTTTGTGGAGTTACTGTTGACTGGCTTTGTGCCTGCTGGGTGTATTAAGCTGGAATCAATTCATGAAACCGAAGACAGTGATCATCCAAGACGATCAATTTCAATAACCCGGACAGGTTGAATGAATGCCTCCGACCCTCAAACCAAACAACCTTTTTGCCTTTCGCTGCTCAGACGCACAAACCATTCAACACAGGCCTTCGTCTGGCGGGGGTTCCCCCCGCAGTCTGGGAGGGTATTCCCCAGGGACGTTTATGTTTAGCAGGGGGTCATTATTCATGAAGGGTCTCACGTTGACCAGTGGAGGCGAGGATGCCCTACTTACCATATTGACTTCTGACACCATGTCTATGCTGGCGATGTCTATGTTCATTCCCACTCCGACCGGAGGACCTGGAACAGGTGAAAGCAACATTGAGCATCGAGAGGTCTCTATGATTGACTGACACATTTTTTTTTTTTTACAAAAGATGGTTGATAATGTGCGCGTGATAGAAGCACACGTTGACACTTGTGAATGTAGCCCGTTGTCAGCCGGATAATAGTTTGCAGTGTTTATTTCGGGGACTGAGGGGTGGAGGGGGAGAAGAGGAGGTGACGCGCTGAGCTGCGGTGGTTCCCCCTAAAAGTTAAATCCCCCCCCTCCCTCCCAGTCCTAAAACATGTTTCCCTCACAGCGAACACGTGAATTGGAACATGATCCTAACCAAGAACTGGCACCATTATGTTTTACATACAAATTGTGCTGTGAGTTTTGACAGCCCCCCCCCCCTCTTCCGCCTTATTTTTTTGCCTGTCTAGATTTGTCACTGAAATAACTAAGACGGTGTGTTTTATCGTCCTCACGCACACCGATGATGTGTGTTCTCGTCTTGCCGCTACTCCCGGTTGTTTTGACACATTTTGCCTCGACTGTATCGTGGAAAATATCCGACTGGGGCAAAATCTGATAAGACAGGTCTATTTCACTTTCCGAAATCGCAATCACCCATTGAGTTATCGGGGAATAAACACTGTACTATTACACGGACTGACAGGGCGCAAACTGGATCAGAGTTGATGACAATACGATTTCATTTACCTCCGAAATCTGGCCTCAATCGTATATCATAACCTTTCAACAGCCTATCCACCGTTTCTTTAACCAAAGACATATTGCTAGGATCATTGACACCGGCACTATGGGAGAGAAAAGAGAGAAACATGTGCACAGGGAATTTAAATACGAGACATTCTTGGACCACAAAGTGTCCAAGTATTTTTCCATTTCGTCTGTAACACAGTCACACTTTAAAGAAGAAGAAAAAAGATTGAGTGGAGCATTCTCCGACCTTTTCGCTTACCTTTGAACGCACACCACGGTCACCACGAGAGGGAAGAACCAAACCCCGAAACACCTCATTCTTCTGATCCTGAACACCGACATACTTATGTTGTGTGTCTTTTTCTTTTACCGAAGACGGACGAGGTCCAACTTATTCTTCCCAGTGCAGTAATTCCAATGCCGGGCGCATGCGTATTCCCGACCACAACATCAAGAAGCTGCGCTACCGCTGCTGATGGTAGTGGCAGATGTGGTACCCGGGCACGGAGGGGATTTAAAGGAGAACCGTGACTACAAGTTACCCAGCGGTACATAAGGGTGTGTGTGTGTGTGGGGGGGGGGGGGGGGTCTACCTTGTTTCTATAAACCCTGTGTCACTGTTTTAAAAACAAACGGCGAGCGTGAGTTGTCGGTTCAGATCCAGTGTGTGTGATGGGGAGGAGGAGGGGGGGGGGGATGTGGGTGGAGTTGCCTGTCTGCGCTCGTTCTTTTAGGACGCCGTCAGCCAGCTCATCTAGCTGTCCCTGAGCAAGGCACTTAACCTCGGTGCTCCAGCGGGGAGCCGCCGCTGCGGGTCTCCCGGCTGACGTACGCAACTGGACAGCGTTTTTAGTGTGAATGTGTCCGACTTCCGAAGCGCGAAGCGGAGCGATTACTTAAATAGCATTCAAGTGAATCTAGTGGAATACACGTGTGAGTTGGCAATTAAACCGATGGAGATTGCATTTGTATTAAGCTATAGTTCTCATTATATATGCGTTTAATCTGCATGCATTGCTCTCTGGCATCTGTGCGTGGGTGCAAACTTGTGTTTCGGAGTTTCCACGGGTACTGTTAGTCGGGTCCCACGGGGGATGTTCCCCGTATGTTCATTCCTTCCAAAAGAAAGAAAGGGAGGACAAACAAGCCGGGTATCAGTTGTCCATGGTGCTGACGCGTGTGCGTTCAGTCCCCCACTCTCTGTCCATGGTGCTGACGTGAATGTACTCTGCTCTCTCGCTATCGCTTTCGCTTCCTCACAAACGAGGGTCCTCCGTGCTGTAAATGCATCCCTGCGCCAACAGTTGTTCATGCATCAAATCTCCAACCACTCAGGCCTCAGACGACAAAACGAATTGCGTCCGCGGCTGAGTACTCTGAACGGCGCGGTGTACCAATGCAGTGCCTCGGGGTCGGGAGCGGGACGCATGCACGGGGCAGAGCAGAGCAGGATGCACTGAACTGCGTGCACTTAGCACTTGTCCCGCAGGCCGTGCGCGCTCCTGGCTCCAAGCACCGGTGAGCAGGATGTGCGCCGCTGCGTAAACTCGGACACGAATGGTCACGGATATGGATACGCGGATCAGACTCGGATGCCGGAGCACTGAGTCTATATGCAGAAGCCACAGAGCAGCTCTACCGCTCGACTGAGGAGGGATACGGGAGTGATCCTACAAGGATGAGGCTAAATGCAATACTTTGTAAAAGGACATGTCGGTGATAGGATTCTTTTCAGGGACTGTATTGATTTTGATCACGTACACGAATCAAATCAAATCCCCTTTTGATCTGATGGGGGCGCTGTCAAATATGAAAGATTGTGATGCAAAATCAAATGCACTTTTCTCCATTTTTGCATAGCCCAATTGTCAAATTATTGAGAGACAAATACATGTTTGGCTGCTGTATTTCCGGCTTTTAAATTAATCATAAAAAAATACTTTTCATTTTTGCTTTGAAATAATAATAATTGTATAATACAAAAGTTGATTGTTATGGATTAACATAACTTCTTCTATAGCTTAATATGCCTCTGTGCACTGATTTTAACTATAGATACACAGACAAATGTGACCTCTCTCGGTAATATTCGTCTTTTGAACATTGTTGTGGATTTGACAATTTTTTTTTTTTTTTTTTTTAAGACTGAGCAATATAGAGACAGAACAATGTGCTCGATGATTCACTCCAGAAAGATCCGTGACATGGATCGCACCCACGGCATTCTGTTCGGCTTCTTGCAGATTTCCCTCACGGGCTCACCAATATGTTTAATGGCAATCGTGTCGTCAAGAAAAAATAATCTTCTGTCAGAATCAAACAGCCAGTTTGCTTCTCCAGCTTGCACAGATTACCGTGGCTGTCATGAAAAGCAAGGCAATACAAGTAATGTACAAGTTTGTTTATCCGGCACAGGAAGGGCATGATCACTATCCATCAAAGCTTTTTTGTATCATGACCTCTTTTTACTGTGTGTTCCATAGCTCACTAATATTAGTCAGAGGGTGAACAGATGGTGGAGTCATAGTGCGCTTTGACAATCACAATATAATGAGTATGGAAAAAAGGAGTATTGCAACCCTGCAATGGGAGTGGGTGGATCTTCACATCCCTTTGAACCTGAGTGAGGCCAGCAGAGAGATATTTTGACCTGCTCTGCAGTTCTTAATGCCTGATTTACTTTTTTGTTCAACATTCCCATAAGAGCTCTCTCATCTTTTCTCTTTGTACCGGTCACTCTGCATCTTTGCACTAAGAGGGAATATAATGACTACTTCTCTGAGCCTCTTGGTAAAATGCCCTGAATTTCCAGTAGTGAAATATTCACATTTCTGTGCGCTGATGAATAAAAAAGGATGTTCACAATGTCTGAAAAGGCATTAGAGTTGTTTCATGTCAGTAAAAAACAAGGTGGAATCTTGAGAATGATGGAAATGTCCATGAGTAGAAAGCTTGTCATCTCTCTCTTGCTCTATGTGGTTGTGCGTTTGCATGTTTGTGTGAGAGTGTGTGCGTGTGTCTGTGTGTGAGCATGAGGACTCTGTGCCTGACTACATAGATTACCCATCTCAGTCCATTGCCTGCCATGACATTGACTTTTGCTTTTGCAATTATTAACCAGCGCAATGAAAGAAAACAAATATTGGCACACAATGTCACACACTCAGTGTTTAGTTGGGCGTTGCATTGAATGTCTAAACGCATACAGACACACACACACACACACATTGTCATGGTTTGACTTTTTGCTTTTCCAGTCTCCACAAATGACTTTTGTCTCTGCACTTTTAGTAACAGCAGATACATAATTCTAGTAATCCTGCAAATCAAATTCATTTGTTGAAATATTTTGGTTCATAATTACAATGATGAGAAGTTCTTGCATGTTGAATCGCTTGGCTATAATTCTATATCTACCCACCACATGTCTCATTCATGAATGCTTCGTCGATTAGGTCTAGCTGATGCTCTGAGGAGGCCTCGCCAAATGTTAGCAAACTGATAATGATGATTTAGATCCGCTTTCATTTATATTTTGCACATTTCAGATGAATCCAGTGACAGTGGACGAGGAGGAGGGTGGATTACTATGCAGTGCTTAATGAATCTCTACAGCTTGTTGTGTTACTGTGGAGTTTGCACCTGGTCTGTTCTCAGCAGGTAACACCACCCATGGAACGACTGTCTGATATCCGCCCAGCATCACAGGGATGGAGCGGCAGGATGCCAAAGCACATGGCCAAAATGCAGAAGGATCATTTCACCCACTTACTGCCATGATTGTGCCGACGCGATGGCAATCGGCAGTGTGGAGATACAATTACTATATAAATGTTTACTGTATATTATGTGTACAGGTGTGGGGGACTGTGTGCGTGTGTGTATGTGTGTGTTTGTATGTTTGGCTTAAAATGACTAGAAATGCTTTTCAGTTTGGTTGTCAGATGAAAAAGGAACAAAAAGCATACTCTTTAACAGTGAACATTTACAGTATTATGCACAGTGTCCCTACCAGAGATGAACATTGTACTGTGCGTTTCCCTGTACTTAAAAACATCTTTTGGTGTTTCGGTTTCAAGTGTTAGCATTGCCATTGTTGATTAAAGCACCTTAACTCAGCGGGAAAGCTGAGGCTTGTGAAAGGCACATTTAAATAATGGATTTTTAATTACCTACAAGGTGAGTATTTAGATCCATTTTGCACAAAAGTCATTCACAATGCAGAAAAAAAAGTGACAACCACCAAAGTATAATGTGATTATGGCTGTCTGTGAAATTATTGATTTTATTCATGCATTCCTAGACAGGAAATACACCAATCTGCACAGGTGTGTTTGTTGGAAAGGGACATGAATTCATCTTAGCAGCAGCTGCTATTCTGCTCTGTAAAAATATTCTCATTGCAACTGAAGCTGAAGTAAGGATGTATTTCTGGAAATGTGCACGCTCCACATCCAAAGAAAAAAACAAAATTCATTGTACAAAGCGCCCTCTGTCAGTGAGTTACAGCATCAAACTCATTACTGGATTAGTGATAACTGGGTAAGCAGCAAATGTAACCACTAAAATGGTGTTGGGTGGTTATACAGCACAGAAATGCGTTTAAAAACTCTAATTGTAAAACTGTACCTTGTCATTTTTATTGCAAATAGAATTGTGACTGCAGTTTTCAAATATCTCTGGACAGTTGTTAACTCGTGACTAAAAACCAACCCAACTAAAGCGCCATGTCATGTTTTCCTAGCTCATCATCACCACATACTGGATAATCCAAAATAATGCATTTCCACTGGACAAGATCTGACCATTTTGCCAGCGATGATGTTCATGATGTTGTAACTGCACCTCAAAGCCCTATAGTTGCATTCTATCCATCACTATTTACCTAAACTGGTGGTGAAATGGCTCATCAGCGTTTCCCGCCTCGGCACCACCAGAGGGCCGTTGTTGGCCAGGATCTCCGCCTGTCTCTGGCAAAATGGCACATTGGGGCTTTCGACCTCTGAAGTGTGGATATATGCAGGACAAATAAACTCCATCAGTTAAACCCTATGCGTCATTACACTTCATCTACCAGAGGAGGCGCCACCTGCTACTTCCACAAGGTTGCGGCGCCCTTCCCTGGTTGCCACCACAACACCAGACAGCTGGCGGACTCCTTGCCCACCTTCACACATTCTCTCTCTCTCTCTCTCTCTCTCTCTCTCGCTCTGCCACTGACAGACGTTGGTTATCAGTGCCAGAACTGCTGACAGGAGTCCGGGGTGAGTGTCAGCTTTAGCCACGGTCGGAGCGGGTGGAAAGATGGGCGGGAGTGGGGGAGGGAGTGAGCGACGGGAAGATAATTTGGAGGGCCTGTGCCAAAAGCCGCTCTTCTGGTGACTGAGGTGATGATTTGGTCGATGAAACAGGATGACAACGCGGCAGTTGGCCACTAGAAAGCCATTAAACCACACCGCCTGCAGACTACAAAGATGGAGTCCCACTGTGACACATGGAGGTGGACACTTGATGCCTTTCCAAGTCGCCATGTAGATAGTATACAACGGACTCCGATTCTGAAACTATTTGATGGACGCAAAGACATTTTCTTT